ACCCGTTCGGGTATGCCCAGAAAAGTGACTTTCAAGGAAATTTCCTAAGATACCCGGTCGGGTATCAGACCATGCAGCTCCCAAAAGCCTATAAATACTCCCCTTTCCTTCACAATAAAATAACCAATTCACATATACTCTTAAGCTCAGTTTAGAATAGCATTTCCTTATATTTTTCTAGCATGTTTAGTCTCCAAATGAGGAGCTAAACTTCCATTTCTTGGTTTTGCTCTTGAAGCTTGTTGATTATTAAAGTTGTGACGTATTTTCTTAACTTCTCTCCTTGAATATTAATTCTTCCCTTAATCTATTTCTATATTAATGTTGGGGAGTGTTGCTAAGATAACAATTAGTCAACATCTCAATATTAATTATTACTAGAAACGATCAATGAACCGATGGTTAATCGTTGATGGTTTCACAAGTATGTAACTTCGTTTTATTAATGCACGGTCATGGTTAATAAACTTAAGAGGGATTAATTTTGTTGGTTAAACCGAAACCGTTGTGTTGAGGTTATCAATCTCAATTGATTTCACCAAGGAGTTAGAAAGATTAAATGCTACTATTAAATCGGTATAAGGCGTTGTTCTATATTTGATTAATATAAGGGTTAATAATGAACGGTCGTTGTTAAAAACTACCCTCGATGAATTGGATATACTCCTCGATTGAGTATTCGAGGGGGGATAAGTTATAGATATAACAAGGATCGACTAAATATATCAACAAGTGGAAAGTAGCAAAGCCAAGTCCTTTTATCTTTGAATTAAAACACATATAGGTTGTTCATCTTAGTTTCTTATTAAATTAAATCATTCAACCCCAAAACCCCCCTTTAATTACTGGTTTCATTTAAAAAGATAATTATTCCTTTCCCTGTGGATACGAACTCTACTACACTATACTACGTATAAGTGTTAAGTATTGAATTTATTTGGATGCACTACGACAAAGTGCTCGTCAAATTTGGCGCCGTTGCCGGGGAAAGACAATAATTTTTCTTTTAATATATTTCAAGTAAAACAAAAAAATAATATCAAGAGCTTTTACCTTTTCTATTTCTGAGCTTACATGAGTAAATGGATACCAACACATCATCGCTAGAGAGTCAAATTTCTAGCTTGACTTTTTTAGTAAAGGAGTTTCTCTTATGCTCAAAAGTTCAAGATACCAAGGCTTGCAACATTTGCATGTCACAGAGGCATCTTACGAATTTTTGCCCAAAGCTTCAAGAAGAATACTTTGAATAGAGTAATGATGTTGGTTTCCAAGAGAGGTATGATTCATTCTCCAACACATATAACCCATAATCAAGTTCTTATTCCAGCATGTCCACTAAAGACATGATCCGAGCTCTCATTATCAATGTGACAAAAGTGCAACAAGATATGTCACAATACCCGCAAGAAACAGTGCTCAAAGAACTAAACTTAGAGAATCAATTGAAACAAGTGCCAAACATTGTGAACCACATTGGCGAGGAGAAAGAAGAAGAGGATCTTACGGAGGAAGCTCAACCACAGGTGGAGAAACCTCAAAACTCAACTCCACCACCGGCCATTCCTGAGATCATGCCACTATTTCCTGAGTCTCTAAGGGAAATACAAAGGGTTGAGAACGACAAAGACCTCTACGAAATCATCATCAATTGTGAGTATCATTTAGATTTCTCTTCGTTCACAAATATGATGGGGATAACGATGGGGTTACACAAACATTTAGTACTCCCTCTTATACCACCCGTATCAAAACCCCTTCGGATTACTATGCTGAGTGAAAATCATAGACCCTCACTCTCAACGTATGAAGCGATAGAAATCCGGATATTTGATCCCGGAAAGATTGTCAAAATAAAGGATCGACAAATTAAGCCTTTCTATAAGATGTGCCCGAGTGAAAATGTGAAAAAGATGGATCATCACGATCCAAATTTTAAAGATTGAACACAATGATATCGTCATGTCGCGACGTTAAATGAGGCGCTTCTTGGGATGCAACCCATGTAAGGTACACTTACTTTTATCTTCCTTTATCTTAATAAAAGTCTTCACATTTCAAAAAAAAATTAAGCCCAAGGCAGAGTACCCGATCGGGCCCCCCACTCCACTCGGTCGGGTATAAGCTAAAATGAGAATCCGGGCTCCTTGCTCGATCAGATCAAAGCGGTTTTTCAAAAAAAAATCAACATACCCGATCGGGTATGACCCTTACCCGGTCGGGTGTATTTTTCTAACTAACTACGGCGTCAAACGCCCGATCGAGCACAAAAAAAGATGTTATACCCGATCGGGTGTAAAGCCCTATCTGGTTGGGTATGCTTCCAAAAAAATTGAAATCCTTTGGCCCAAATCACCCGATCGAGTACAACCGAACTCGATCAGGCATGCCTCCGAGTTAAGAGCACAAGAACACACACCCGATCTGGTGTATAGCCCTACCCGGTCGGGTAATGGGGATTTTAAACCAAAATCAACACCCGAATCTCCATCTACATCTCATCCAAATTCAAACCTCTTGCACAATCCCCATGACCAAACACACCAAACTCTAGATCCCAAACAACCTCAAATTCCCCATTCATTTGAGCCGAATTTATTTGAAAAATCCCAATTTTTGTTTTCATCTCTCCACTAACCTCAAATCTCACCCCCAAACAAAACAAAACATCCAAGAAAAGACGACATGAGAGCACTAGGGACAATGCTCGGACTAAGTAGGGGGGAGTCACTCATTTGGTATGTACTCATTCTTTCCAGCTTGAACTTGCATTATCCTTAAAAAAAACAGACAAAGAAAAAAAATGCTAGTTAGGTTGAAAACCCAAAATTGGGCAATCTAAGCCAAGTGGCTAAAATGAGTGAGTTGGGAGAAAGAAAAAAAAAAGAGAGAGGCTAGGATGAAAACCTGAAAAGGCTCCTAGGTAGAATGAGAGAATGAGAGGAAATTTCATCCGGGTTTATACAAGAACTCATTTCACTTGGGAGTTTTTGGGATGCAATCAATGAAAAGAATAATTGTTCTTGAAGATCATGAAGACCCTCGTTCTTTGTAAATTGAGGATGATAGAAAAACTGAACATGTTATTCTTTTGAATTTATCTGATCTGTGGAATGTGAACTGCTATGTTGGCTTTTACTCGAGGACGGACAAATGGACTAAGTAGCGGGGAGTTTGATAGTATAGAATTGTTATTGTTTATTTTTGTAATTTTAAATAGTTTTTATTAGTTCTAGTTGTACAAATTACACACTTTTGGTGTAATAGTTTAGTTTGTAAAATGTTTGTAATTTGTTTAGATTAGGACTATTCTGAGCTAAACAGGTCAAAGATCATCCAATGGATCAAGATTGGACCTCAAAAGATCAAGGAAAGTGCAAGGAGGCAAGAAATACTTCGATTTGGATAAAATACTCTTATACTCGATCGGGTATAAGCAATACCTGATCGGGTATTTGCTTGATTCGATTGTCCAAATCAAATATGAAGACAAATGATCGTGGGAGCAAGATTTCGTAACAGATTTGTCACATACCCGATCAGGTATGCCGACATACCCGGTCGGGTATGCCCAGAAAAGTGACTTTCTGGGAAATTTCCCAAGATACCCGGTCGGGTATCCTATATACCCGGTCGGGTATCAGACCCTGCAGCTCCCAAAAGCCTATAAATACACCCCTTTCCTTCACAATAAAACAACCAATTCACATATACTCTTAAGCTCAGTTTAGAATAGCATTTGTTTATATTTTCTAGCATGTTTAGTCTCCAAATGACGAGCTAAACTTCCATTTCTTGGTTTTGCTCTTGAAACTTGTTGATTATTAAAGTTGTGAGTTATTTTCTTAACTTCTCTCCTTGAATATTAATTCTTACCTTAATCTATTTCTATATTAATGTTGGGGAGTGTTGCTAAGATGACAATTAGTCAACATCTCAATATTAATTATTACTAGAAACGATCAATGAACTGATGGTTAATCGTTGATGGTTTCACAAGTAAGTAACTTCGGTTTATTAATGAACGGTCGTTGATTAATAAACTTAAGAGGGATTAATTTTGTTGGTTAAACTGAAACCGTTGTATTGAGGTTATCAATCTCAATTGATTTCATCAAGGAGTTAGAAAGAGTAAATGTTACTATTAAATCGGTATAAGGCGTTCTATATTTGATTAATAGTAAGGGTTATTAATGAACAATCGTTAATAACTACCATCGATTAATTGGATATACTCCTCGATTGAGTATTCGAGAGGGGATAAGTTATAGATATAACAAGGATCGACTAAATATATCAACAAGTGGAAAGTAGCAAAGCCAAGTCCTTTGATCTTTGAATTAAAACACATATATGTTGTTCATCTTAGTTTCTTATTAAAAATTAAATCATTCAACCCCAAAACCTCCCGTTAATTACTAGTTTCATTTAAAAAGATAATTATTCTTTTCCCTGTGGATACGAACTCTACTACACAAAGTGCTATATACTCCGTACATGCTAACTCTGCATGCAAGTGAACTTCATGTACTAAAAGCACATCTTGTTTTACATTAAAAATAAGTTTTCTGTAATAAACATTATTTTGGTCATTTCGCATGTGATTAATAAATGTTGATTATGTTTCTAAGATAAAATCTATTTTCAAAATAATGTCATAAATTATTATAACTTTAAAACAACACATTTTGATCTAAAAGAAAGATAAAATTTCGATAATTGTTTTGACTTTATTATTAAAAAACTTCAATAAATTATTTATTACTCCATATATACTTAAAAAACTTGGGTGTGACAGAGCAGCTTCATGATCTTTCCGAGCAAAATTCTTCCTTTAGCCCCCTCACTACAAATGGGATTTAGGTGGAATTACTTGGGTGTATATTTTCTGATTGAGATCATTGCATTAAAAATTATCAAAGGATCATTTTTTGAGAATTTAATTAAGATGACAAGTTTAGTACGATGATGAGAAATTTCTTCCACAATACACATGCACAATTAAGTGTATGCAGGCTTGCACGCATGACTTTTTCAATACCAACACATATGGTTGTGAACATATGATACGACCACTCATCTACATTTCATAATATATAAATAAATAGAAGTATAGAAGTGTGCTTAATGAAGTATTTAAAGATGTACCTACAATCACCTACTAGGTGATGATCACCTGTAGATATAAAATAACGCTGAATATGAAGATATGTAGGTCGTAAGATAAAAAATGGGGTTCCCGCCAAATTAAATTACATGCTTTTATGAAATTTCTTGTAATTCTTGTCCATTCTGTAGAGGAGGACAATACCTTCTCCAGAGCCAGTGTTTCTGCCACAACAGATGGATATCCTCAATGGGGACTTGATTTGTCTCAGGCAAGAGGAAGAAGATGAAGGAACTCATGATCACAATCAATGCTGCAAAAACCAGGAAGATACCATACTTGAGATGGCACAGAGATGCTAGGAAGCACTGCGCAATTATAGCCGTGAAGATCATGTTGACACACACCACGAGGCTCTGACCCGCAGACCGCGTCTCCAAAGGGAAGAGTTCGCTCGGGACTAGCCACCCGAGCGGGCCCCACGACCTTCCGTAAGCAAAAACAAACACGCATATCAAAAACACCAAAAAGATCCCAATGCCCTTTGAGAGCTGTTCGCCTTGTCCGAATTTAATTGCAAGTGTGATGGCGAGCGCCACCATGACACATACCATTTCTGCCCCTGCTTCTAGAAACAGTACTCGCCTTCCGTACCTGTCCACCAAGGCCATAGAGAAGAGAGTGGAAAAGACGAGGATCCCGCTCGTGAGGGCGGACGAAGAGAGAGACGCCCCGGATCCAAATCCCAAACTCTGGAATATGACTGGGGCGTAGAAAAGGATGGAGTTCATCCCAGTCAGCTGTTGGAACGCGGGAATTCCAACGGCTGCAATGATTAACTGAGGCCGATTCCTCCTCTTCAGGAGGTTCCGAAAAGGTTGCTCTATAGCTTGGGCCGCTCGACTAGCGTCCATGAGGTCAGAAAACTCGGCATCTACTTTTGAGGTTCCTCTCACCTTCTCCAGAATAGCCCGAGCTTCCTCGAGCCTGCCCTGCTCCACCAGACTGTTTGGGGTCTCAGGCAGGTAAAGCCCGCCCAGAAACATGAGCGATGCAGGGATCGTTGCTAATCCGAGAGATAACCTCCACCCCCATGGATGGATTTTGTTTGTCGCATAGTTTATGAAGTTGGCCAGGAGTATCCCCAGGCAGGTTGTGAGCTGAAAGAGTTGGTTTATGGCTCCCCTGATCTGTGTTGGGGCCATTTCTGAAAGGTACAAAGGGACTGCTTGATTGCCAAAACCAATACCAACACCAAGAAGGCAACGGCCAACGATGAGCATTACGATATTCCGGGCAAGTGCATTAAACAATGCGCCGATGAAGAAACTGGCTGCTCCCCAGAGGATGCTTGCTCTCCGCCCTTTGATTCTGGTCACATATGAAGCCCCAAATGTGGAGATAAGGGCCGCAAAGTACAGAGATGAAGTAAAGAGAGTGAGGATCTGATTGTCATATTTGCAGTAATCTGTTTCTTGAAGATGGCTTTGCTTCCTCGTGTAGATTTTGGGGAAGAAATGTTTCAAAAAGTCGTCCATGGATGTCACCCCACCTAAAATGTTATACAATATGTCACATGGATGCATGTGTACAAATTAAAACCAATTGCGGAATCAGAAATTGCACCTCTTTAAATTAGTAAGACTAGAAAATATTTTAAACAAATACCATTAACTTTTTAAATCGTTGGAGATGCATGTAAGAAATTTCAAATGTATACAGAATCTATTTTGAATATTCGGGATAATTTTTTTTATTGTGGGTCACAAAATATGATGTTAGTATTTGAGTTCTAGTCTTTTGTATGTTCAGGATCAATGTGTTTTGCAAATTGATTTTTTGTTGCGAAATAATAATATGTTAATATACTAGCAAGGGCATATTCACTAACAATTGTGATGAATTTGATGGGTATCCGTATTAAATCGTTTCGATCGAAACAGGGAAAACCGCATTGACAAGTTGAGCTTCCCTCGACCAGAAGTCGTGAAATGTGGAGTAGCTAATGCCTCATATGTCCCATTGGAGCACTTAAAGTTCAATGTACACACAGAACGAATTTGAGTAGGGAGTTTGATCATGAATTTGATATAGTTCGGTAACTTTACATACTAGCGTTTGTGCCCTACTTTTACTAGTCCGATAACTTTACATATTTGCATATCAGGTCTTCTGTAGTAGTATATTCATCTCATTTTATGTCTTACTTATTAATACTGATTGCGAAAAATAAAAATAATGGTTGAGGTTTGAGTATAATAAAATGAAATGTTGTAGACTGTATATTTCTTTTCAAAAATGAATATATGACACTTATTTTGGAACAATTTAAAAAGGAAAGTAAAACATGTAAAATGGGACGGATTTTTACATATTAAGACTTTTTCTACCAGTGTTACAGTGTACAATTTCTTAATCTACAAGTACGTAATAAAACAATAGATACATGCATGAAGTTATACGGCTAATTAAATACAAAATTTCCATGACAAAAAATTAGAATTAAAAAAGAGAATAGGTTAGAATTGCACTAAGGCTTTGATGAATGATTAGTGGAATAGCTGATTGTTTAGAATGAGTAACAATTGCAACTATAATTCTAATATGGATTAGTCAAAACATGATTTGTTTGATTCGAAATGATCGAGAAGGCAATTTAAGCTACGAGTATATATACAATAAGTTTTAAGTTTTACTTAAAAAGGGATGGACACAGTGTACGTAGTTCTTATGATCACGGAATTTAGAGGCCGGGGACTGAAAACACAGGTTTATAACTATCGAGCCAAGATTAGTTTTGGGTTAGAAAACTGGTAAGAGGAATTGAGGAAATGATCAGTGCCAACTAGTATTATACGTAGTATAATGTAACAATCTATGTAACACGGAAATTGTCAGGAAAATCTTTGAAAACTTTCCAAACAGGCCTTTTTTGAGCAATAATTGACGTTTTTCATTTCACGTTACAATATAGGTAACAATTGACCGAATAGAGAAAAAACATCTATATTGCACCCAAACATGAAAATCATAAGAAAATAAAAAGCGGGAAACATCATTTTTTACTCAAAGAAATAACTGTTTAGACAATTTTGAAAGAGTTTCTATAGAATTTCTGAAAGGAAAACATACTCTTTCTTGAGATTTACGGGGTACATATGTAGAACAACATGCATATTTATAGAAGGAATTGGAAAGAGTGGGAAGATGACTGACCAGAAACACCAAGATCATAGCCAAAGAGAGATCCACCCATGGCGGCAACAATGCAGGCAAAAATGAAATAAGGAGTGATCCTATACTCATAATAAGCTCCGGCGCCGCCCCTTCTCGACTCGTCGACAAACCCTCCCGCCGGCATTCTGATCGATCACCACTCACTACCGACCTCACTTTCTAGTCTACCTCACATATACGGCCCTCATTTATCTATTTATTGATCAAACAGATATGATGGATCGAAATTAATTAATTAAAGATAATAATAATAATAATAATATGATACACTCACTAATCGGATGATGATGATATGGGGAATTAATTAAGGGGGTTGTTAGCGGATATTCAGGTCTTATCAATACTGTGCATACTACAGTTTCTATATCTCATCTCAAAGCCCAATCAGATAAAGTTTAGTTTCTATATGCCGCATGATCCAGTTTCTTAAACGGATATATGTATACATGAATTTAAGAATATTACCAATCTGGTCGTTCCTTTGAAATTTACCAATTTTGATTAATTTACCAATCCAGTTTCGCTCGTACTTACGTACTAGTCTGTCACCCGTGCGTTGCACGGGATTAGGAATTATCAAATTATTTATAAATCATTTGAGTTTTTCCAATCAATTAATTAAATTAAAATTGACATTGTTGACTATATGCAAGTATACGCAGTATAAACTAATTTGTAGGTTATATTTTAATATGTATCAATATAGTAGTCCTACAAAAAATCAACATGTATTAAAAGTGAGTTTGAAATTACGATTCTTGCAACTTATCCTCACGCATATAGGGACTTAATAAATACATCAATAAGAACTTAATAAAGATGTTAATACTAAACAATCAAAAGAGTTTTTTGTAACATAGCAACAATTTACATCCAACATAAATATATTTCATGAACGTGAGATTTCTACAAAAATGATCTCATAACTCCTGAAAAAGTTGATGATTCTAGTGATAAATCATAACAGAAATGTGCATATAAAATATTGGAAAATGTGCATTTCATCTGTGCAAAATTTTAAATGTAAATGTGCACATTAGAATTTTAGATTACTTTAACTATAAATGTGCAGTTTTGTGAATGATACAGTGCATCGTTTTGGAGCGTTCTCATTTCTCACGTTAAGAAGTGTTCTCACCGGAATCGCACCCCATATATATATATAGGGAGCGGATCGGCTGAGAAGTGCCCTTAGGCTGAGAAGCTACGAAGTCTAACTTATAAGCAAAAAACATGAACTTTTAACCAAAAAATCATAACTTATAGACCCCCTCAAAAACACGAACTTTCTGCAAAAAAAAAAATCCAGGTTTCTGGAGTTATTTTGACGCGGTGGCATTTTCGTAATTTTTTTGGAGGGGGTCTATAAGTTATGATTTATTGGTTAAAAGTTCGTGTTTTGAGCTTATACGTTAGACTTCGCAGCTTCTCAGCCTAAAGAGGACTTCTCACGTGATCTTTTCTCTCTCTCTCTCTCTCTCTCTCTCTCTCTCTCTCTCTCTCTCTCTCTCTCTATATATATATATATATATATATATATATATATATATATATATATATATATAATAAGGATCAAATGAGAAGAGTGCCTATCGTAAGAAGCGAGAATGCATCTGGTGCGTTCAATTTAAGATCTGTGCATTAGATTTGCAAAAAAGTGCACAGGAAAGTGCAAAAAATATTTAAAAAGTGATGCTAGACGCAGTGACATTTTCATAATTAATCGGAACTTTTTTGTCATTGCAAAAAGTGCATCAGATTTTGGCACGCGTTCCACTCTCTCATCATCTTCGTAGGCCTTGGCCTTACCTTTAGTATTTGTACATGCGAACAAAGAAAACTGATAAGCTTTACACTTAGTAAGTCACTATGGATCCACAAAAATATCTGAGAAGTTTATGCTAATTTATCAATAGATAAATTTAGGCTATAACCATGCACTAAACAAACAACTAACAAATAGCTTCTCAAATAAATTCTGAGAGAGATCCCAAAAAAAACATTTTCTAAAATAATTTCTCAAAACTACTAGAAAGATCTCAAAATTTCTTTCTCAAAACATCTCTGTAAAACTTTCTGAAAGAGATCTCAAAAACAACTTTCTGTAAAACTTTCTGAAAGGGATCTCATAAACTTTCTGTAAAACTCTTTGTGGCTAATTTTAACTTTGGGCCCGTGATATGTACTCAAAGGCGCCAATCCGACAGCTCAGGGGAGCGACCCACTAAACATATCGGACTCTCTGAAACTGATAAACTGATAATCTGAGGGATAATTCATAACTCATCGATAACTCATCGAATAATAACATAACTTAATACAACAATTACAATAACTCATCGAATAATTCACCAAGCTCACATAATAACAAATATTCTAAAATCATTTACTAAAAATCAACCAGACTTCTTTCTTTCATTTGGTTGAACAAACATGTACAGATGGTAGTAAACTTACTTGATAGAAGCTGAACTCAAAATACTCAAATAATTGTGGCACCTTGATAACGTCTTCCAGTGAGCTCTTCCTTGAAATCTTTAATTAGATATAACAAAATAATTACAAATCTGATGTCTTACACCATATTAGGCTAATGAAATCTTTGGCTACTGCCACGCAGCCTTTGCGAGTAAAATGACTAGTTGATTCGAGTACTATTTTAGTCGGTTTAATATTGGCTTGTACTGACTTCAGCAGCAGCCACCGGTCAAAAGTGCCTCAAAACAGATTGAATACTATATGTTTCAATGGCAGCAGCCACCCGTCAAAATATTTAGGGCAGACCCAACTCAAGGAAAAAAGAAAAAAGTGGAATTTTGGCTGCTGAAATGTTACTGAATGAGACCTATTTACTGAACACGACTAGAGTCTAATACTGAAATAACATCCCCACAGAGACTTGGAATGCTCAATTTTCTTAAAATCAAACTTAAATGTATGGTGGATATACTAAAACTCAAGACTTACGTTTTCTTTGCATTTATCTAGCTTCTATGGATAACTAAAAGAAAAAAAAATATAAAATTTGGAAACCTTTATGCAGCAACCCGGTTTTTAAAATTAAATTTAAAATAAAATCTTCTACGGTTTTTGGTTTACGAAAGTGTAATTCAAAACTAAGATTTATTGAAGGCTTATTGATTTTAACTAAAATTTAGAAGTGACACTTTGAGGAATTGAGATAGTTATCCTTAATGACAAACAGAAGCTGATTAAACTTTATAGTTTCAAAACCGTAGAATGTAAAGAAAACCCCAACTCCAATAACAATGTTAACTAGAAAAACTGGGAGCAACACACATGAACAAAGAAGAAGCTATTGTCCAATTTAAAACCTCAAACGTAAAGAAGCTGCCCATGATTTAAAAATATACGAAACCCAGCCTCCCAAAAGCAATTTGATCGCACTTGAAGAAAATCATAACTATCAAACCCAATTCCGGTAATACGAATTAAAGAATTCTAGAGGCAATCTATTAAGATTAATACCTGAAATCAGATTGTTATCAAGGAAAACAAACTCTCGGTGGTTTGAGATGAAATCAAAAACCGAATAAGTAGCTTGGTATGGAAGAGGACAGGATCTTTGAGCACGGATGGGAACGGACTGCTATGGAGGAATTTTGAGAGCTGCAGCGGCTTAGTACTCGGCTCTTATGAAAGAAAGTGGCGTAACTTCCCTAGGGATTTAGTTTAAAAGAGACTTATTTGGGCTAAGATTGATTAGGGCTCCTAATGTTCTAAAAAAATCCAACTTTAAAAGTATTTTCTATTTCAAAATAAACTGATTAAGCTTTAAAACATTACTAATTTCTTCACTTAAAATTATTAGAGCTCACTGGTCAACGTTACCTGTCAGAACAACACGTGATCAAACAATAAATCACATTAGTCATAGAAGAAACTTATTTAATTGCCTAAAATAAATATTAATATTGATTATAATAATAATATCATAATAAAAATGATTAATATAACTAGCTCATAAAAATCGGGGCGTTACAACCCCTCCCACCTAATAAAATTTTCGTCCTCGAAACTTAAACAACCTGGTATAGTCTCACAACATTTCAATCTAGACTCCTCACTTGGCTTTAGTAAAACTGTAATCACTTTATACCTTTCACAAGGTTACTTCCTTTATTTCCTGAGCATATAACTTGACTGCGAGAAGTTTGTACTGGCTTTTCTTCCTACTACTAGATTGATCAAATTTCTAACATTGGCGAAACACAAAACTACTTCATATAATGACCAAAACAAGGACAAGAAAGCTCTCACTGTTTAAATCCACCTCTCATGATTTCTCATGGCGCTACAACACAAAAGCACTAGCTCACATCAATCTTTATAAATGAATTAGTTTAACCTGTTTGCTTATTAATATGAAAAAGAAAGACAATACAAAATTTTAACCTCGTCATAAAAAAAAACTTATCCCACATGCTACTAAAAATGAAATTCAGAATCACATTCTAGAGGTGTGCTTACATGGGTCAACATGTCTTTTAAATTGGAGAATAGAACTCTTTCTAAATTTCATCCTTGATTGTTGACATTCTAGCATTATAATAATTGGAAAAAAAATGTGTTCCATTCTCTGTCAGTTTTAAGAGTTCATCCACACAATAGGATTATGTAGTGTGGGAGGATGGAGTTATCTCTTTCACCATTTTCTCGCTTCTGTCCAGTTGATGGTTTTAATTATGCTATATTGCCACTTTTTCTTTATTTCTTCTACTACTATCTCACAATCTGTTCTTAATGACCATCACATGGACTCTATATCTAACCCTAAACACTGCTAAAATTGCACTATTCTAATGATGTTAATAATTGGACGGTGTTACAAGTTTGTTGTTGTATCTGTGAGAATACTTTAATACTCTCTGCTATCGAGACTGCTCCGCATCGGGAAAAACTTCAATCTAGCTTATGAAAAAATCTTCATCTCAAAAAAATCCACTGTAGTCTGACTTAAATATTATATCAAAAGGAATTCTTTTTTAACGTCTAAAGTAGATTAACCTACTAAATTTTTTTTTAACCACTCAAACAAGCATCTCAAAAACATCTTTTCATCAAAAGAAAAAGTTTCTTACGGTTCTGTACCTCTGGAACCAAAATCTATAACTTCATTGATTAGTGTCCCGAAGTACTTAGGAAAGTTGAATGAAATTTT